TCCCCAACTACCATCACCATGTGTTGAGACACTTCTTCCCTCTAGTGGCAATATTAAGGACTCTGCCTTTCGCAGTAGGCAAGGTGTAATTGCAATATGACAAACTGTGCTTTGGGGAAAACGCTGTGAATGATCTGTTTTTTTTTGTTTGGCTGGGCTTTATTTCTTCTTATGGCTTTCTGTGGAAACTGTCCTTCCCGCGGGCTGGGCCGTGGGCAACAAAAATTTAGGCTTTGGAAAATGATTGCGGCAAATGGCTGGTAATGTCTTACAGCTTGCCTTAATTCTAGTCTTCTTTTTAATTACCTGTTTATAAAAACCTTTTTAAATTTGTTGAGATTACTTAATTCTTTTGGAAGAAGCACCTCATTTGAAATAAATAAATAAATTGCATTTATTTTAAATAGTCCATGTGAAAGACCTTTAAAGGGTAATTAATGCAAGTCTCCTAAGGCTCTAAGTGAGATGAAAGCGATCTTTCCAAATCTGCTGGAGTGATTTGTTTATATAACTTCCCACTTCTGCTCAATTCTTCGGAGTCTAATAACTTTTTTTCTAACCGTTTGGCAATTTGTGCTCAGCTACAAAAGCCCTTGTTCAAAAAGAACAGTTTAATAATCTTTTCCCTGAAAATGACTTGAAGGGAGGGTATGGGTTTTGTCGTTTTGCCGCGTTTTTATTAGTGTTATCTTTCTCTGATAAATCATGTAATTATTAACTATTGCGGGGGGGAAATCTTATTGAGCTCCTGGGCTGCAGCTTCTATTAAAAAGTGGAGTTTTGTTCAGGGACTGGGGATTCTCTGAATAAATGGCCGGGGAGTTGGGGTTGAGACGAGCCGCACGCTCGCAGCTCAGCCTGGGGTTCCAGCCATCAGGTTGGCATTCCGCCTTCATCCCGAGTCACACCGACACGGGGAGGGATGGTTACGTGTTTGTGTCAAAGAGCAGCACCTGCGTTCTTTAAAAAGAAAAATGTAACCAAAGACACTTATGGAATGAGATGAGATCCAGCTCTATCTTTAGTGAACTATAGCCTCGTGTCTCTGTGGCGTTTTGAGCCTTTGGCTGAGAGTGGATACAGCTTTGTGGTCCCCTGCTTCTGACATGATTTGGTGCCACCATATATTCCTAGGGTTTTTTTCTCATTAGACCTTGTTTTGCTGTAGGGCTGCTTAACACCGTTCTCAAACGGCTTTTGCAAGGTTAAAGGAATGCGGCTTGGTAACAAGTTTGTGTCATTTTAAATATATACCTCCTAGTAAATAAGGAGGAGCCTTGCAATCAATCCCTTTTAGTGTGTTATATGTTTCACCTGACAACTAAACCCTCTATTGATTAACCATTACTTTGTTAGATAATCTTGTGTCATTGAAGCCTCTGTAAAAATTAAACTCTTTAAAATGTTTTACCCTAGCAGCAGTGCGAAAATTGAAAACTTGTTCAGAATTACAGCCGGCTTCCACTAAGAAGGTAGTTTTCAACAAACTGGTTTATGTTTGCATGCTTTATATGCAATATAAAAACATATTAAAGCACTCCAACGCAAAGCTATCCGCCTGTGGCGTTGAACCAGGCTGCCATTTCAGACTGCTTTCCTTGGCAAGGAAACCTCTTATCTTGATGAAAGGTGAGGAGAAACCTGAACGGTTCTGGTGCAAATGAGATGAGATGCATAAAAGGGTCGAGCTTTAAAGATGAGCTGAGAAATTTACTTTTCTGAGGGTTGGTTCTGGCTTTGATGTTCTCATTTTTCTTCCAGAGTAGTCAGTGTTCCTTCAGCCATCCGAGGCAACGAAAGGAGTGCTCTGATATTTTGCAGTGTATTGTGAAGCACCACAAACTGTTTCAGCTGGATGTAGGGCTCTGTTATTATCCAGTGACGTGACAATTGTTCTCTTTTCTGTTCAGCCTGCTCACTAGAAACTGTTGGTGTGCAAACACAACATGATAATGCCAGATGAAACCACATCTTTAGTGATCTTGTGTCTCACAGCAGCTGGTAACTGCTGCCTGCAGAGCAACAGTAGGAGATATCCATACAGCAATACCTCCATGCTCCTCATGTACTCTCCTAGCTCCTCATGACTGCTCTTCATGAGCCAAATGCTGCATCTTCTCAACATTCTCATAACATTTCCTTTGAGACCCGTTAGAGTGATATGACTGCTTTTCTTTTTTCCTGGATGTTAGGGCAGAACTAGATCATAGGTTATAGAATGGCCTGGGTTGAAAAGGACCGTAATGATAATCTGATTGTGAACCCACTGCTGTGTGCAGAATTGCCAAGCACTAGACCAGGCTGCCAAGAGCCACATCCAGCATGGCCTTGGATGCCTCCAGGGATGTTCTTCAATATTTTTGCTTGAGGTTATTTGACCACATTGTACATCTTGCATATGCATCTTTACCGTCTTTATTCATCACACAGCTAATAATGAATTCTTCTGTGAGAAAGTGAGAAAAAGACCAGGAGAACATTGTAAATGTGCAAACATAGTAACAGGCATTGAACTGCTGATCACTGTTCGTGTGTTTGATTCTCAGTTCTGCATCCTGATGGGTTGACTCCTCTTAACTTTCCTTTAATTAAAAGCAAAGAGCTGCCCAAAGACTAAATGGTTGTCTGGCAACTTGATGCTTACGTAGATCGTTATGTAATAAAGTTACTGTACAAAGGTTGGTCCTCACACTAAAAGTATGTTCTTGTCTCATTTCTGTGGCTGAAAAGCTTGAGAGGGATTTAGGACTTGTTGGCTTGTGGTGCAGGGGCAGGGAGGTATGAACATGGGAGTGCCCAGTGGAAGATGCTGCAGAATGATGGCAAATGGCACTAGGGATGTCTGGGTGTATCCTGGCTCATACTCTGGACATGTTCTCCCTGAGTTCATTTAATTCCTACTTTTACTTGCTGATGCTTTTCTCCATAGCATCCCATGGCAGCGAGCTGCAGGAGATCTCTGGGTATATAGTCACAGAATCATAGAGTCATTTGATTTGGAAGGGACTCTTCAAGGCCATCTGGTCCAAATTCCCTGCAGTTCCATCAGGTGCTCAGAGCCCCCTTCAGCCTGACCTTGAGCATCTCCAGAATTGGGGTATACACCCCCTCTCTGGGCAACCTGTGCCAGTGCCTCATTGCCTGTATTGGAAAAAACTTCTTCCTTTTATAAAGTCTGAATCTCCTCTCTTTTATTTTGAAACCATTTCTTGTCCTGTCAAAACAGACTGTGCTAAAGGGTCTGTCCCTTTCTTTCCTGTACTCACTCTTTATATACTGAAAGGCTGCTATCAGGTCTAGCGAAGAGATTCCTTTTGTTCCTCTTTATTGTTGTTTTTAAGTACTCCATTAGTTCCATCAAGTGTCACCAGATCCTGGGGGATTTGATGAACAAGCTAATTGTCTTGGTGCTGTCCACGCTAAGGTGTACTACGAGGGTAAAAGTAATAAAAAATAAATGATATAAAAATTAATGGAATAATTATTTGTGTCTGTCATGTATCCTACTTTTGAACAGTGATGTAGTGAGCTCCCTTCTCAAAAAGCTCTTGTTTTTTGGCCTTTATTACTTTACGTACTGTATTTGGATTATCCACTCTGCGTATGTGATATGATAGAAAGCCTGCTGTAAGCTTGCCTTTTAAAAAACTGGCTTGTTACCAAGCCTTTTGATACCCTGGGAGGAAAAGACTAAAAAGATGCGAGTTGGTTCATGGTTGAGTTCAGGAAGCCACAGTCTTCCATGTTTCTTTCAGTAAATGCTTTTGTGACTGAGCTTTTCATCTGCAAAGTGCAGTTGGTATTAGCTTTCTTTGAGCCTCTCATCGAAATTGCAGTATATATGAGGTACACTGGGCAGAAATGCTGCTACTGGAATGTTGGGAATGCAAATGCAAACGAGGGAGATCACAGATTTACAATAAGTGGGTTAAATTACACAAATGTCAATAATGAACAAAGAATATTACCAACTCTTCACGGTTTTCCACCTTCAGAGCCTGGTGGAATTTAACTGATGTGATGCTTATAAAATGAAGTCTGTGTGGTGTTGTCTGAACGTCGGCGCAGAGCAGATGGTGTCAACTTTTCTGTCCACCACTTGAGCCACTGCATCTAAGCCACAATTTATTATAGTTTATGCCATTCTGATCCTTCTTCTGAAAAAAAAGTACTGTGCATACCAGAGTGATAGTTTTATGACGTTGGCAAATATTTGCAGGAGGCAGAGTTGAGTCCCTCAGCCTTCTGTTTGCTCGCAGCCTAATCCTGGTTTGAATGCAAACCTCCCTGCTGAAAGATGGAAGATGCTGAAAGATGCACTCTGCTCGGCCACGTGGTGCTGGAAAGGATTTGGGCCTAGAAATTTCTGTTTCTCCTTCTGGATGCAGGCAGGAGTTGCAGTCTTTTGTAAGCAGTGACAGACCAGTCCTGCTCTGTAGTGTTCCCCCAGATACTGCACTGCTTAAGCAGCTGATACCATCTGCTGACTGCCACGCTGTTTTTTTCCTGTGTCTTTTGGTCAGCACATAAATTGTGGGTTCTTTGGGGGTGGAGAATAGTCTTCTGTTAGCACCAGGCATAGCACGCTGGGGTTTTATCAAGTACTGGGACTTTTAGGAACTACTGTCCTCCTCCTTTTAGCAAACGTGAGCTTCATCAAGTAGTCATTAACAAGGTGCTGAAAACCTCCATTAGAAAACTCTGAGTTCTTCAGACATTTTAGTTTAAAGAGTCACTTCATCCAAAGTTTAATTTTAGTCACAGTAAAAAAAAAAAATCCGATCTGTGTATCTCAGAACTATAAAACTGCACAGCTTCTCAGAGAACGAGCATGCCCTCAACGTAGGTTTTTGCTGTAAACTAGTTTATTTTGGCTAGAAATTATTACACCATAGGAAAAAGGAAATGTAGTAGCATTGTTGTGGGTTCTGGTGCCAAAAATATGGTGCCTGAAAGAAAATTGTCGTCTTCTATTCATAACCATTTTAATCTTTCTGCAGACCTACAACAGCTGTGCCAGACTGTGCTTAAACCAGGAAACAGTATGTCTAGGAAGCACGGCTATGAAGACTGAAAATTGTGTGGCCAAAGTAAGTAACAGAACGGCTTTGGTTTTGAGAGGTGTTTTAGCATTCTATCCACTATTAATCATAGAAAAATTCTTGTTAAAGATGACAGCTAGGAAAAGCATTTAAATGGAAAGTAACTATTTGAGGTAGGTTTTTCCAGCTTTTGGTGTAGAGTTTGAGATGTGCTGTTTTCCTCTGTTGGAAATGATTACTCGAGTCCTGAACGATCTAGGATAGAAGAGTTTATTCTGCTACACAAGTAGGCTGTTACAGTGGGACGACCTGTTCCTGCCACGTGATTAGCTGTGGCAACTTCACATGATGAATGTCCAGATAGATGCTGATCTATATATATAAAATATATGAAGCATGAGAACTCTGTGTCATGGTGCCCTTTCTTAGCTGCCAGAAGGAATGTGTAAAAAGAGTTGTTAATAAAGGCCCTTTAACTAAAATCCAGTGAATGCTCTATTTAGGAGAGAAAGAGGGAAATACAGTCAGAATGGTAAGAAAATAGATATATTCATGCATCAGAGAAAATACATTTCTTGAAAATTGTACTAGGTGTGATTGGAACAGAGGAGCTGCCATTAGCCACCCTCTTTTCTTAAAATTCAGCATAACTGGAGTAAAATAAGACACTTGCAGAGTTGTTTGTGAATGGAAAACATTTGAACCATGATGCAATAAGTATAAAAAGGCTGTGTGAAGGATGTGCTTAGCCTTGTATAAGCTTCGTGTTTCCACTGTGAGGAGGGTTAGAATGGGCATGCAGGACAGATCAGTGCACGCAGCCATCTGTTACTGAAACCAGCTGGCTTTTTGTAGCTCTCTGTCACCACGACCTGACCACTCAAAAGCCTGTTTTCTCTTTCATTGTTTTAAATTTCTTGATATTTTTGAAGTCCCCTTTTCCCCCATGCTTTAAAGGTGCCTTGCCTCTTTGAGGCCTGCTTTTGTGTTGACTTTTAAGCTGATCTCCCAGCTAAATCTTTGCTTTGGAATTTTTCCAGTGAAATTTGGATGTCCCATTACTTTTAGTTTGGTTTTTTTTTTCTGAATTGGCCACCATAAGAGTTTGCCATGGTGCATTCAGGTGACTTAGCACTCATAAACTGCTCTTGCCATGCAAGGTTGCCTTGCAGTGGGGATGCACTTCAGAAAGAAGCTACCAATCATGGTAAAAAGTGCTAATATTGAATCCTGAAACCTACTTTCCTAGTTTAAGACAGTTGGTTTTGCATGTTGCTTCCTCAGGCCCCTCATGATACAAAGTGAAACTCTTGAAGCAGCTCTTACTGAATTATGTCAGCATACAGCGCTATTCTGATGAAGCAGCTCACAGTGACCTAGCTAGGAGTAAACCCAGTCAATGCCCTGTACTGTACACCATTTTGTTTAACCTGGTCTTCTTACTGAGGAGCAAGGATGTGCAGGAATTACTGCTAATTTAGGTAATGCCTCTTTAAACTGAGATGACATACCTTTAACTTCCCAGTGTCCCAAATAATAGACTGTCCTGAAACAGCCTATTCAGTGGGGTCATGGTAAGAAATAGGCAAGTTTGGAAGTAGAATGGCAAGTTTTCTTTCCTGTCATTGAGGATAAATTTGAACTATCACTCTGCAGGTGGAAAATTGTATGTTTTTAAGTATTGTGTCTCCATGCACTGTATGATTATATACTATATATAAAAGAAGGACTTTTACGGGGATATATTTCCCCTAGAACTAGATTGTCTGGCTGTTGTACCCCTTTCCCCGCCTTCCCAGCTGCAAAACAAAGTGAAATAGGTTCTAAGAAAGCTTATCTTTCAAATTCCAGAAGTGTTGAAGCATTTAAACTCCAGTTAGCTGGATGCAGATGGCTCTGTGATGGCATAGGCAAATGGCACAACTGTTAAATGTTCCCTTGGTGAAGGGCTTAAATGGGATTTAAGGAGTTCAGAGGCCTTCTCCTAGCCTTATGCACATGGCGAGTTTTATCCTCCATGATTGATGTCTTAAGGCTTTGAACATTAAAATCTTTTGTCAAGAGGGTGAATGCTGGAAAGCATAAATGCAAGTTGCTTTGTCTACAGCACTTTTCTGAAAGTACTGTAAGTTTGTTTGTTTGCTTGCTTGCTTGCTTGCTTTTTTAAAAGTGGGCACTGAAGGACAAAAAGGGTTGCTTTGGAAATGATTACCTTTTCTGATTCTGCAATGCAGTATCAGCCTTGACAGGAAAAATTGCTCAAAATGTGCATGTCTAGACTGAATAGGGGGGATCATAAATTAATAATTATATATTTAGGTGCACAGATGTCACTGGGAGTTCTTCCATTAATCTTTGGGCATGTTGTTGCCATTGCCTCTGAGTGATCAACAAGTGTGATATATATTTAACCTAATGTCTTTAAAAGGCAAATGTAATTTCTAATTGTGTTTTTATAGATGCTGCTCACACACAAAAATCCTCCTGATTATCCCTTTGGAAACTGCAAAATATTTGCAAGAGGATTTCTTGTTACGGTGGTACTGGTGTGCAGCCATAATTGGATGACTTTCTCAGAAATTGGTGCAAGATGCTTAAAAATAAGGTAGAAATATAACATGAACCTGAGCTGCAAGGGCAGGGCGTTTGGTTTTAATGAGGGTTATTGAAAATTGGCCAACTGAGCATCTGTTCCCATTGTTTGTTCCCTATTTTGTTAGCCAGTATCTTTGGGTCAGATAATGGTGTTGGTGTGTGCTGCATCCTCAGTTAAAAATCCCCTGGCATCTGGTCTGTCCTTAGGACTCTTGTGATGCTCCTGAGTGTGCAAACAAGTTTTTCTCCTGTCCTGTATCCTGAGCCACTTGGTTTGTGCAATGACCTTCATGCTTTGCCCTGCGGAGAGGGAGGCTCTGCTTGTCTCCATTCTCCTTGGCTGAGTCTTTGCTTAGATGGGTTATATATTTTTAAATAGAGGTCTTGCCATTTCATCCTTTGATAATGTGGGCTGTGCTAGGTTTGACTTCTGCTGTTCACTTGGAGTCTGTTGGATAGTACACTTCCTCGGATCGTGGAAATATTTTCCTGATTCAAAGTGCTCTTTTGCTTCCCAGCAGGAGAAGGAGCTGATCTGATGGAGTTGTGCAGTCAGTACCCATTTCCTGTATTCATTAGATAGGTTTTTTTATTAACTCGTGCAATCAGATCAAATTCGTCTGCATCTGCTGCACGGGGAAGTGTTCTCAGTTTCATTTTTGCACATCAAATTCTCCTCTGTATGTGCCAGGGCCAGGCAACCTATGGCACAGCAGCCACAGACAGCATAGAGACACCTTTTAAATGTCATCCAGCATCCCTGCGTATCTGCTTAGCTCTGAGCTGGGCAGCAGCTGGGACAGGTTCCCAGCCCCTGTTATTACCAGAGGTGAACAAAATTGGAAAAAGCAAAATGCAGCTGAGCACTCCTTGCTCCTTGCCATGCCCACGTATGATCCCCGGTCCTGCCTCTTAAGGTGCCTGCAAACCAAGTGTGTCGTGTCTTCCAGGGACATATTCTTGCAAAGATGCATAGTATTATTTAGCTGTAGCTGCACTCTTACATTCAAGGGTGATTCCAGTAAAGAAGAGAGGGAGTGGTGGAAGGAACTGCTAATTGGAACCAGCTTTTCTTTGTGAGCTCTTTCTGCATCTCTACTTCAGAATTTTTGGGGTAAGAATAGTCTGCACAGTAATAACACTGAGCTCGGAATTTTGGTATGAAATTCAGTGGAGAAACCACGAGTACACTTCAATAAACAAACATTTAGGGTTCCGGGCTGGATGTTCCAGTTGGCAGTAGGACAAATTGATCTGAAGAGTGTCCCTCTTGGACTCTCAACTCCCTTTATGTCACAGATTGATGGCTCCTCTTTCCTGAGAGTGTCGCTGCATTTACTTTACATGAGCAGCACATGCAGCTCGGAGTTCTGCTGTGAGACACTGCTGAGTCGGTATATCTTCAGATAACGTACAGTTTTCCAGTGCTTCTGAAACCTTCCCAGTCCTTGAAGTGATAGTAGACCAATGTAATCCTGAATGAATATTATTTGACAGACTACGTCGTTTCCTGATACTTCTTCAACTGGTTTAATGAGAAAGTATGTTCCTTCATATCCTAAATTTATTTTTGCATTATGCTTTTGTGCAGTGATGCAGGGGGGCTGTCAGCTGTCATGCTTCCAGCTCCAACACCTTTGCTAGCAGTGTTCTCTTTTGTATGCTGGGGACACAACTGGGATAACAGCTTCTGAGGCCATTGCCTACAGATGCCTGCTCAGCCACCATGGGCCAGGAGAGGTCCAGGCATGCTATTTATGCCATTTTACTCTTCTGTTCCTTCTGTTGTCTCTATAAAAGAGGGTGTTGTGAATGGCTGGTGTTGCAGGGACATGGCTGAGGGTTGGTTTGTGTTCAAAAGTTGCTATGAAACATGAAGTTCAGCGCTGGATTCTGAGTATTTAGACAACTCAGGCACTATGCAGAATCAGAGATTTGTCTTAGAATGTTAACATAATGATGATTTTCTTTTCATAGCGATGTGGCTACTTTTACCTTAATTGTGGGTTTCTAATTATTTATTTATTTATGCTCAAGACAATCTTTATGCTTTAGCTTTCCCTCAGTCTAATAACCTCTTTGCAAATGGCTGAGGAAGAAATGTGATATCCTGCTCCCCCACCCTACCCCACCATACACATTCTCCAGATTTTGATAGACTTGTTTTATTTATTTCCAAAATTATATCCGCAGGAAACAAGCTGTTTAAATTCAGATTATGCTGAAGCAAAATGGTCCTGGTATGAGAAGCAACGTGCTGTTTTATGAGCGCAGAGTCCCTTTTCTCATAACTGATTGATAGTAAATATTTTCCTGAAGAATTATTGCCAACCATGAACAGTGCAACTGTTTCACTTTTTTTTTCCATGCTACTTGCTGTACCAGCCATTGTCTGTAATTAAGATCTACAATTCACAATGCAGACGTTTGCACTTCCTCTGGGTCTGAGCTAT